GATAAAGGTTGATATCATGTTTGTCTTTGCCTTTACATGGACATTGGTAGAGGTAGCCTGTCAAAGGACCACGATGCCTATTTCGAACTGAACACATACTTACTGTGTATACTGTACCTTCAACAACCACAAAAAAAGATACCATACCTACATATGAATATTTAGTGTCCAAACATTCCCTGACATGCCATCCAGGAGACTGCCCAATTAAGGCACAGAAAGGCATCTGACATTTGGGGCAAAATCCATCCATGACCTCTTTCTCAGGCGTTATTTTATCGCTAGGACTCGAGACAGCTGAGCCTCGTTGATCTGCGCTTAATTGATTATTTATGGTTTTAGAAACCACACTTTTCTCATTTGGATTACTGGAAGTGTCTGATCTCTTATGCCTCTTTTTTTCTTTCTTCAAACTTGCGCTATATTTCCTCTTGTCTGTTTGCGATTGATTAGACTGACCTTCTTTTACATTCTTTTCTGAACGTTTAGAGCTTATCATCCTGGCATTCTTGGATCCCGTAGATGACAATTTCCCGCGTTCTTGAGACGAAGTTTTTAACTTTCGTTTAAGCTGTTTCAAAGACTTTTCGTCCCATATGTCCTCTTCATTCATATTTTCTTCCATTTTAATCGAAACAAATGCGTATTTGGGGTAAAATATAACTGAAATATTCTTTTAAAAGTTTCAGTCATTCAAACGAACCGCCATGTTGAATAGTTGAATGTGATACGCAAAAATGCAGTATATTTGAAGTACTCAGATTGGGTGTAAGTTCGCAGGTCAGTAGGAACGAGTGTTCGATTGCCTCATCATTTGCAAACAGTTCAATCTTTTTCAGTCTTATCGCGATATCAGATTATCATTTAGCAGTTCATCATCCATAGAGCATTGACTCGAAAGTGACTCGAAAGGTTCGGTAGGTTTTTAAGTTAGCAGGATATGAGTGTCCAAACGCTACAGAGATTCAGTCTACAGAGTATCGCTAAAGACATCATCGTCTCCTCTGACAATTCTTCGGTCGAAGATTTTCACCGATACAAATATGTTCTAGGTCCATTTGATGGCTTAAGTAAGTGACCATAATTTAATACCGTAAGACGGAATCTATTTCTATTTTCATACCTGGCAAAGGTTGCCCATCGCGCCAAGGAAATTCAATAAGGAAACTGAGTAATTTTACTTTTCAGTGGACAAAAACCTTGTACCAGAATAATTTTGATCATATTGCATTATTTTTTACACTTTTTGAGGGCTATAAAATGTACATGTAATTAGCTTAAGTATGAGTTATATGAAATAACTCCAAAGAAAATGTTCTTATGAGAGAGCGAGAAAGTATATTTCAAAAGTTGTTTTCTCGGGCTCCCATAACAACCTCTTCTCTGGAGTTATTTCATGTAACTTATTACATTTATAGCCCTTGAAAAGCGTAAAAAAGAATGCCACTGTATGGCTTAAAATATTCTGGTACAAGATTTTTGTCTACTGAAAAATAAAATTACTCAATTTCCAGACGGATTCCATCATAAAACTCTCTCAAGTTTTCCTAAGGTATACCTATGTGCAAGCAAAATTGTAAGTTCCTTGTAAATGGGGATAAAGGGAAGAGGAAGTGATAGGGTGTTCCTGTTTCCCTGTCAATAGGAAGGGTCCACAGAGTGGAATGTGGATCTGAGACTGAGTACCAGCACTAATAAATGGGCTTGCATGGTTGGCGTTCAGACCTGCAATTTTAAATTGAAACAGCAACAAAAGATAAACAGAGCAAAAGACAAGATGTGATGCTGGCTCCTGGGGTTTCAAGAATTCAGTCTCCTAGTTTTTCAGCTGCAGTTTTCCTCTCCTACATGTAAGGTTGTCTTCAGTAGACTCTTCTATAGATCACACTAACTTCAAGCTGGGGAGAATGTTTAAGACGGAATCTATCAGGAAATTGAGTAATTTTATTTTTCAGTGGACAAAAACCTTGTACCAGAATAATTTAAACAATATTGCGTTCTTTTTTCCACTTTTCAAGGGCTAAAGATGTAATTAGTTATCTGTAATAACACCAAAGAAAATTTCTTATGGGAGCTCGAGAAAATGAATGTCCAATTTCACAAAATTACATCTAACACATGAAATTTTCAGACATTTACCTGTGTTTTCACAATTCTTGTGAAATTTGACATTTATTTTTTCTGGCTCCCATGACAAATAGTCTTTTGTGTTATTTAATACAGAATAGTAAATTATACCTATAGCCCTTGAAAAATGTAAAAAAATGCGGTATTGTTTAAATTATTCTGGTACAAGGTTTTTGTCCACTGAAAGTTGAAATTACTCAATATCCTGATGGATTCTGTTTTAAGCTCTACATCTCTCAAACTCGGACCTTTCCAATTGACTTTTAATAAGCTTTTTTTAATTGATTTTCAGACTCTGACCTTATTCAAGAATTGCTGAATATAATTTGTGAGAAAAAGCAGTTAAAAGTGTATCATCTTCATGTCCTTCTTCACTCAAGTATCAAACATCTGGACCTGAGTGTGTGCAACTCAGTCATTAATGATCAGATCCTCAATACTTTGGCTTACCGTTGCAAGGTGCATAAAATGTCAAACTGAACATAATTAGTGACCTTTTATTGATGCAATTCTTTAATTTCTTTTGTACTTTTTTATATTCTCTGCAATTCTACTGGTTTTCTGGTTGCTAAGGAACCCTTTTTGTTCTCATTTTAGAAACTGGTTCAGCTTTCACTGAAAAACTGTTCACGTCTTTCAACAAAGGCATTGAAGCAAATTCCCAGAAATCTTCTCTGTATTGAATCAATTAACCTCAGTGGCTGTCTGTCCTGNTGGTTGCTAAGGAACCCTTTTTGTTCTCATTTTAGAAACTGGTTCAGCTTTCACTGAAAAACTGTTCACGTCTTTCAACAAAGGCATTGAAGCAAATTCCCAGAAATCTTCTCTGTATTGAATCAATTAACCTCAGTGGCTGTCTGTCCTGTGCAGATGATGTCTTGGATGCATTCGGATCGGCATACCCAGAGCTAAAAGTGTTAAGAGTGAAGTCATGCTCTCAGATCACAGATAAAGGCATAGATGCTTTGTGTGGTGATGATTGCAACCCAAGGTGCCGAAGCTTACGAGATGTCAGCTTCACTTCTACCAGCATCACCAGCTATGGAATAACAAAATTACTGCTCACACAGCCAGCATTAAAAAGCTGTAGTTTAGCCATGACAGCTTCTAAAGATACCTGTATTTTTAGTTTAGTCAATGGTACAAGAAGAAGATTACCACTTGCCGTCATTGATTTGTCATACACTTCAGTCTCTGACACATCTGTCAAATGTCTCTGTGAAGCTTGTCCTCTACTGCGTGAAGTCGCAATAAATTGTTGTGCATCCATTACAGAAGTCTCTCTGGAGTACATAGCGACATTGAGGCATCTAAAAGTGTTAAACATTGCTGGCAACATGCAAATCAAATTCAGTCCTTATATGAGACAATTCTTGAAAAAATCTGGAAACTTACTGGAAGTGCTTGACATTTCGTGTATGGAAAACAGTGATTGTGCAGTGATTGGTGCATGGTGCAGGTCCCTAAAATGTCTTATCATGGCTGACTGCCAAGATATAGTTGGTAACTATGTTCAAGAATCAACTGCACAAGAAAACAACTTACGGCTGTCATTGGCACAAGCATGTTCAAAACTTAACACTCTAAACCTTCACGGCTGCAAGTTTGCAAAAAACAAGTCCCTGCTTGAACATCTTCTGGCCATTTTAGGTGACTCCCTGGAGATCCAAAAACTAGATCTTTCTGGTATTGAAGGACTAACTGATGCAATTCTCCTTCAGGTCATACATTCCTCAAACATTTCTGATTTGAGGTCAATAAATCTCTCAAGATGCAGTGAAGTTTCTGTGGAGCCAATTTATGTGCTATTAGATGATTTTAAGAGCCTTAAACATTTAAATCTGTGTCACTGCCAAAATATTTCTCTGCAAGATGTTGAGAATCTGAGGAAGAAGTGTAGAGGGTGTGGAGTCAGCCTTGACATTGAATGGTTATAATATACTTGGATGAGCAGCATGGCAAGTAGTTAGCATGTCAGACTGACAGTCTGGAGGTTCTGGGTTCAAGTCCAGCTCTAAGGACCATCAGCTGGATTTGCTTAAAAAAAAGTCAACTCCTTGGCCAGTATTTCTAGTTAACCAGCTATTTTTCGCCTGCCAGATGTCATTTTTTATCCTATTTGGACTATCTGTGTCTAATTACTTGTTATAAAAGCTGATCGCAGTTTCACTGTTAACAAATATTTACATTTACGTTTTACATACCTTTAACACCAAAGGATAACAAATTTTAGGTGGTCTTTTAGGGATTCATACTTGTAATAAGGTGTCTTAAATGAGAAAATTTAAAAAAGATTCCTGCCTATTGAACAGACATCTTGAAGACGTTTATACGAAGCCAAATTAATTAAGCAATATAGTAAGGAAGATGTGAACTATTGTAGCTTACAAACTAAATACTTGTCGTCTTACCTAGGTAATTTAAAAATCACATTTTCATAAGTTGTTTTAAAAAAAAGGAAATAAACACTCTTAAGAAGGTTGAACTGGGAAAGAGTGATGAGGTACTGACATTAGGGACCTTAATTGTCCCTCAATTGTGACAAATGTAAGATCTTGAAGGTTTATCGGTCGAGAAACCTAATCAGTCATCAGTATACAATGAATGGAACTCCTTTAGACTCTGTATCTCATCATCCTTACTTGGGTGTCGTGCTGTCCTCCAATTTGAATTGGAGCTTTCATGTAGAAAACATTATAGGGAAGGCTAACCGGTTTCTTGGTTTCATCAGACGTAATCTTTATTCCTGTCCAGAGAATGGTCAAGGTCAGACCTACCTCACCCTTGTTCGTCCTTGTCTGGAATACGCCTGTAGCACACTCAAAAGCATTGCCACGATTTTGAAGGAGTACAGCGGGAGCCGCCAGATTTCTAAAAAACTGCTACGAGAGAGAACCCGGTACAGTCACCAATTTCCTGAAGGATTTGAACTGGGATTCACTAGAACTGAGACGCAAAATTGCACGACTTACAACCAAATACAAAATGGTGAACAATAAAATCAGGGCCAATATTCCGGAGTACATTTCACGCCCCACCCTTGTTACACGCTCTTACCATAGCAGCAAGTTAATAAACATCGGTAATAACAGCAATACCTATAAGTACAATTTTTTTACTAGAACTTTGAAAGAATGGAACAGTTTACCTTCCTTTTTATTAGATCAGCCTTCCGTGAAGGCATTTAAATCTGCTTTTACTAATTACTTTAGTCTTCCTCACTGATTTTATACATCATTTTATTTTATTATTTATTTATTGTATTTTATTTTATTTTTTGCACATTCACAGCGATGGGAAACCTTTGTGAATTATAACAGGTAAATAAACTGAGTTGACGAAGTAAATTTGTCCGCTGTAAAAAGATTCAAATTTGACGTTTCGAGCGTCATTTCTTTTCTCTGACGTAGGGTTATCTTTTGAAACATTTTTACAACTAAGCTTCGTATTCTTTGGCAAAACCTAATTTTTTCAAGGCAGAGCCACAGTTTCCTAGGCAACTATGTATCACTATTTTAGAAGACCAAGTAATGGCTCGGTGGGCGAATGGGCCGTTTACCTTTTTACTTATTAAAGCTTAATTGGACGAGAAATATTCTAAGATTATATTCTATCAGACCAATTATGACCGAACGAAAAACACTAAAAACGCTTGCGCCAGTATTCCGATCAATAACAGACATTTTACAGATTTTAATCGAATTTTAAAAACGGAAAAAAGAGAACTATGTCGGTTGAAAACAACTGTTTAAAAAATAGTGCGATTCTAGAAAGTGTTGGGAAAGATTTGCGTGGGCGTTTCAAAGTACTTGACTTGTTCTTCTGTTCACACGTAATTTTATGCAATTTTATATATTTGAGGCGGTATTAAACCTCGTCACCATGAAAGCTTGACGTTTTCACCAAGTTCAGCTTTCCGGCTTCTCGAGTTCTGTTATATTCCGTTCCTAAATTGGCACAAGGACATCTGTAAACGGTTAAAGGAAAGGAAAGTACTGTGAAGTAGAATTACCGCTGCAAGTCACACTTTGTAGTCCTTGCACGGAAACCGGAATTTAATGAATTTTTCATCTACGTTCTTTCACCATACAGGAAGTCTAGCGACTTTTATATTAATGATCCAAGTGAGTCTTAAATCGTAGTCTACGCGAGTTTTACGGTGAGTTTAGTGGTGAGTTTTTTATTCTAATAACAATTTATCTGTTTTGCATTGTTTGTATCTCATAAGTTTAGATAGAGGGCTTTAAGTAATGGGATTGACGTGCAGTTAGTCACTTGGACATCGGTATATACAATGCCACTGTGCAAAATCGACAACAGTATTTATTTGCGTTGAAACTTGGATTACAAGAATTATCCACTGTGCAAACGCAATACTAATTGTAAAGCGTTTGGAATATAAGTAAGTGGGAAAATAAGAAATATGCAGTTGCATTATTACGTACAGTCATCGAGGGATATTGTTATATCTAAATTCAATACTAAGAGAGCCTACAGTGAAAGAGTGCAGTAACGGGCAATATATGTAACAGACGTTATGATTGTAGACTCTGAAGACTTAAGTCTCTTTAACGAAATCAAAGACGTCGGAGAGATTGTTGTCCGTGTACTCTGGTTTAACATGACTCGCTCTTGGTCATGAATTGAGCTAAAAAATTTTTACAGCCTGACAATGGCTTGACTGGATCGCGAGTGCAAGCAACTGGGTCGTTTTTTTAAGATCTACAAAATGACAAAGTAAGCCATGTAGCAAAACAGTATAACGCAGTAAGTCTCCAATACATCTCACATGCAATCAGTATCAGAATATAATCAGGATATAATATAAAATGCAATACGATCTGCACTGAAATAATTCGACTCAATAGAATACAGAACTTTAATATTAGTAGTAATAAAATTAAAGTATTCACTGTTACTGAATGAGGCACTATTTCCAATCATGACATTCTCTTCTCTTGTATTGTATTTCAGTGATTTTTGAAGGGCTAGAGGTTAGTCACTTCCTCAGTGGCTGATCTTTCGTATTACCATTTTCTTTTTTCTCGTTTAATCGTCATCGTTGTCGGCATTGTAATCATTCAAGCTAATCAGTTTCCGCAATAAAAATAACAATATGCCGCACACTGGTACAATACTTGCTTGACGGAGAAACGGGGAGATGTCTTCTTTTCAATGCAGTTTAATGCAACTCTTAGGTTTAGTTTATGTCAATTTACACATACTTTGAAAAGAAACACAAGCACGGAGACCCAGTAGTCAAGTGAAGATAATTGGGGCTCTCTGACTGGAAAACTGAAAATTAATGATCTATATTAGCAAAGCAACGTATCGAAACGTACTAATTATTCAAAAGAGGGATTCGTTTGAGAACCTAATGACGAGTCAGCAAATTCATCCAATATCAGCCTGCCCAATAAGAGCCCACCGGGTTCTGTAGTGGTGGTGGTGGTGATAGGGATAGTTTCAGTGGTAGTGGTTTGGCCCGCTCTTCGTGGCTGCCCAAGCGCTTTAAACACGTATGGACCTAAATTGGTGCTCGCTTATTTTAGTCCACCACTCTTTGAATTTCGAAATCCAACACTGAAAAGATAAAATAGATAAAACCATCTCAATCCATCTGGCTATAAACGGATAAAGTCCTACACGACTACACCAAAATGAACTTTCTGGTCTGACTTGGCGAACTATACTGAGCACTGTTTTACTATAGCTTCAGAATCAAAACGCACATTTAGTATTCCTCCACTAAATCTTTCATTAGCTTTGTCTGACCCTGCGTCAATTGATGTACCGAAAAACACAAAACGTTTAGCTAACTTTACAGAAAGAATTTAATTAGCTAGCTCTTCCTGAAGGAATCATTCAATATCAAACGGTTCACGTACTAAAGCTCGGCTGGACTGGTCGTGCCTTTCGCAAAACCAAATTTCCGTCATCTTTTACGTTAGTAAGCAGTTCAATAGACACCATAAATTAAACTTTTTGTCATTAAATAAGCTTTTAACAGTAGGAATTTTTAAGATTTCAAAAACCTTTTAAACGTATTCTGTTCCGATAAGATTATTAGAATTTTTTTTCATCAGCTTTTCACCTTCTTTCAAAATATTTACACAGCCAGTATTCTGGAAACGATTTTTCAACACTCTTGGTCAGTAGCATTGTGCCAAAGGAACATCGGCCTAAGGCAAAAGAAAAGCAAATTAAATTTCGCCTTTTTTTTTTTTTCTTACGAACGTCCCTTTGTAAAAAAACATTAAATTTGATTTTATTCGGAAGTGTTCCAATGTGAAAAGCCAAGTTGATTAATTGAAATTCAAAGCACGTTTCAGCGATTTATTTAACTTCAAATCTGACAGAAAGTCGAAACACGCATTGTGGGGGCTTACATCTTGCTATTCATATTTGTTCACTGAATATCATCTTAAAGGATAAGATAAATCATCTGCCCTATTAATTCTCTAGTGGTTATTCCTTAAAAAAATCAGGCGTTACATTCCTTCTTCAACGTTCAGTTAACTGAAATAACGGGTTATATAGTGTTTGTCCAGATAAATGAATAAGCGGGTTTTGAACGAAAGTGAAATGGATATCACTTGCTGATCGCATCCGAGGGAATTGGCAAAAACAATGCATTTAGTTTTCGTTTATTCTGCTCGAATAGCGACTTAAACTAGCTTTTTTTTCATTTACAATCAGTATCGAAGTGAAGTGAACATTCAATCATGTGGCCAAGTTTTTTTTTTCGGAGTCAAGTATGGAACCGGCTACAACAGAGAACAAGCAGTTCTACCTGTTTGCAACAAACTGAACAAATTGTATAACATACCAATTAGCCCGCACACACTGCCGGTCAGTAGTCCGGCGCCGATCATCGTATATTGAAGTAGAAAAAGAAAAAGTCATGTTTTACTACATATACTACACATCTTCTAATATCAAAATAGAGATTCTCTTTACTAGTCCCCTTCTTACAACTATTTCAGGTTCGGATTGTACCTTACTGGTCCTTAGAGTGTGATGAAACAACGTTTTCAATCTCCATTGTCAGTGAGGGACTGCGTAATTTTTACGTGAGTACGCGCGTAATCATACGTGCATAATTAAAATGGGGGCGTAAGAAAGCTCTCACGTAAACGTAAGTTAAACGATGTTGCTCTGTTTAACTTACTGGCATAAAACTGATTTTACGCACGTAAAATAAGGCACGATGATCATAACAGAATGTGTTTAATCCAATTTTTGTACA